ATAAGAGACCAAATGTACAAGCAAGAGCTATGATGATTATTACAAAAGTCTCCATCTTCAGCAAAATCGCTACATATAATCGTCCCCGATAATATGTATATATAGTTTTTTGCTCAGGTTTTCCGGCAGACATATAACATGTTATGCTTGTATTGACTTTGACTTTGATTATTCATATATTTGAACATTCAAAGGTTTTCCATTACGGGTAAAACTTGAGAAGAAGAAGTACCGTATGATGCTTGTCTTAATAAATATCTACATAGTTATATCTTTGTCTACATGTTTTGACTCGGTCAACTAGACTTGAATTCTAATTAGCTTTTTCGCTCATCGGTGTGACATCGTCCACACGATCTTGGCCAGATCAAAACATGAGAAGAAAAGTGCATGCATACAAACACGGTTTATAAGATAATCAAATAAAATATCAAAAAAGTTTATATACGTACGCATAGATTATAGATATTGAGTCGTTTTCTTCTTTCTTTTTTTGGGGTTAAAATATCGTCTTTTTTAAAAAAAAAAATGTTAGTAGGGCCGGGAAGATAACATAAACCGATTGGAGTCAATCGATCGAACCAAGCTCTTTGGTATTTAAAAAAAAATGATCGACAACGTCTTAATCTAATTCGGTTCTTGGTTTTGTTCAGTAAACCTAGCCGATCGGTTCTTTAGTTTTTAAGTATTCTTGTTTTCTCTCACCAGTATCTCCCAAAATGACAAAATTCTTCAAAATATAGCAAAATTCTTTTTGTTCCAATTTACTTATTTTTGAAACCGAACCGAACAACCAATTTAAATCTTCTCATAACTGAACCAAGCAAACTTTTATTCCGTTTAATCCGGCGAGGCTTTTTTCAACACATATTAACCAAAATTCAAAAACCAAACAAATTAAATAAACCGGATGTCCAGGCCTATATATTAGCCTTGATTGCTTGGATAATCGAACACTCAACTTTTCTCATTTCAAAGGCAAGATTTGGATTGGTGAGTATACAATCATTTTTCTCATTATTTTGTACCGTCTTGTATAACTATTAACTAATCAAACCTTCTTTTTTTTTTATAGCAGCTACATAAAATATAAGTGCAGAGAATTTTTTTTTTTTTAATATAAGTGTAGAGAATTTCATTTCCAAAAGTCGTTTCTGTTGAAATTCTTCAGCATAGTGATACTATGATAACTAGATTTGGGAATCTCTCAGACCAGTAATTCTCCCATAACAATTCGCATTTCCCACTAATCCATAATCTTAACAAACAATGACATAAGTAATTATTAAATAATTTCCCGATCTTATCATATAAACCAAATAAACGGCAATGCAGGAAGATTCTTAGAATAAACTTGCATTTAATAAATATTCATTAACCTTCTCTTCTTCTTCTTCTTCTCTCTCTCCTCATTATCCGAATACGCCCAATCGAATCATTTTCAACCCGACGGGTCGTAAAATTCCAAAAGATTCAATCATACTGCGTCCTCTAGATTCTCGGCGCCGGTTTAGTTCGTCGGAGTAAAAATGGCTCAGTCTACGGCGAGGAGCGGGCGGGTTGTTGGTGACTACTTGGTGGGTCGGCAAATCGGGTCGGGTTCGTTCTCTGAGGTTTGGGAGGCGAGGCACCGTGTTCACGGCACCGTCGTCGCTATCAAGGAGATCGCCATGAGCCGCCTTAACAAGAAGCTACAAGATAGTCTCATGTCTGAGATATATATCTTGAAGAGGATCAATCATCCCAACATCATCCGTTTGCTCGACATGATTGAGGTTTGTTGACTCTCATTTTCTAGCTAAATGCGTTTTAGCTTGTTTAAAAGTTACATGTTACTCTTTTAAACATCCAAATGTCAATCCTTTTTCAATTTACCGCAATGTTTTTGCCGTTGAATTTTGCTTCTCTGTTTCTGGTTCTTTTGGCTTGAATGTGTTTGTAAATTGATGTTTTTTTTTTGTGTTTTTTTGGGAAATTTGATGTAGTCTCCTGGGAAAATACATGTGGTGTTGGAGTATTGCAAAGGAGGTGATCTGTCTGTGTATATCCAGAATCATGGAAGTGTCCCTGAAGCTACTGCTAAGCATTTCATGCTGCAGTTAGGTACACATACTCTCTGTGTCTATGTTTTTTTATTTTGTCTGATAGAGTCATGTTGTTAATCTGCGTCGATTTTCCATGTAACAGCGGCTGGCTTACAAGTTCTTCGTGACAATAATATTATTCACCGTGATTTAAAGCCTCAGGTGTGTCTGATTCTCATTCCTTTCAATGATCCTCTGTGCACAATGTGTTTTAGTTCTTAATCAGCTCAGTGTTAAACAGGATGCTGTAGAAGGGTGATCTGTTAGTTTCCAATAAAACGGGGTTCTTTGTCTAAGCAGAGATAGAGTCTTAGAGAAACCATCTTTGTTGAAATTTAATTGCTAAGGTTCTTTCGTTCTTGAAACAGAATCTTCTTCTATCCACAGATGAAAACGATGCGGATCTGAAGATTGCTGATTTTGGATTTGCAAGGTATTGTCATCAGCTCCCCCTGTTACTAGATCAAAGAGTGTATTAGGAGTGAATTAGAGAAGGTTTTCGAATGGGCTCGAGCTGCTTTTGAATGTATATTGTCGAGGTCTAGGTAATTTCTTTTTTTTCTTGGGGATTCTGCTATTCACAACCCTCCCCACTCTCCGGATTCTATTATTTGCATTTGAACATCACACTTTTCGTAATGCAGATCGTTGCAACCTAGGGGACTTGCAGAAACATTATGCGGCTCACCATTGTATATGGCCCCAGAGATTATGCAACTTCAGAAGTATGATGCAAAGGTGAGACCTTTCTCTTACTAAGCTACCTAGACCTTTCTCTTACCGTCATCTCCTTACAATCTACCTTAAAACACAGGCAGATCTCTGGAGTGTTGGTGCTATCTTATTTCAACTTGTGACAGGCAGAACCCCTTTTACAGGAAACAGCCAGATTCAGGTTTTGTATTCTGTCTCACAGACTTCTGTAGTAAGTAAGTGTTTGTGTCCTGTTGCATAAATCTAAAGCATTCTCGATCTTGTGTTCACAGTTGCTCCAAAACATTATGAGATCAACTGGTTTACATTTTCCACCGGCCTGTAGAGATTTAAGTTTGGACTGCATAGATCTGTGTCAGAAGTTATTGCGACGTAATCCAGGTCAGCATCAGACTACAATTCTTTTGCATGAGACCCATAAAGTTGCGAATTTGTCAAGAAGTTGGAGTAGTGATTTGAATAGCAGTTTACAATAAGCTTTATTCATCTACTACACCACATATTTTAAACTACAGCGTTTATGGTCCTTATCTCTTTGTATCCAATTGCGATCACAATCCATTCTTGTATATTGTTTTTCGCAGTGGAACGTTTGACATTTGAAGAATTCTTTAATCACCCTTTTCTTTCGGACAGGCAGTCATATGACTTCTCAAGGTAGATTCGAAAGCTAGTGATTTTTCTCTCCTTTGTGCAAACATTTGTACTTCTGAAAATATCTGTCCTGCAGGAGTAGATTGGGCTCAAGAACAATGGACGATTTTCTTTCTTCTGGAAGCAGTCCCTCGAGAAACATGGAAGAAAGTTCTCAAGAAGACTGTTTGCCATTCCTACTAGATGATGATTCTAGTGGACCTGAGGGGAGCCCTTCACATTTGAAAAGGACGCCCTCAATAAAGTCGTCCCCTGGATTTAACATTGATGCCAGAGTTGAGAGAAAGGAGGCGGAATCTAGTCCTTTGAAATGTACAGAACTTACTTCCAGATATAGTAGAATCAACCATGGAGCGGAAAACAATAGATTTGGATATGAAACTCACATAAATTCAGATAGGAGAAACCATCGTGAACTTACAAGAGTGACTGATTCCAGATCACTTATTCCTAAGGGAAGAGGTACGCTGATTCTCTTCTATTTGCTACGCCTTAGAAAATGGCAAAGCTTTCTTGTTCGGTTTTCTCACATATGTCAATTCTGCAGTAGATGAATCTCAAGACTCAATGGATCAAGACTACGTTATCGTATCTGGACCACCAGTGGATTTGCCATCATCTTCATCGAGTTCTTCGAAGCCTTATAACTTCCCATTCAAGTCTCAGTCTCCTCCTGTCGAGTTATTCAACCGGAAGCATAACTTCAACGGCTCTTATGCCAATAATTGGGTGGCTACTGGG